AAAATGGAAACTGAAATTCACTTAAACGGATCTCGTCAGTTGGTCTCAACGCGATTGATAAAGTTTTTTCAACGATGAGAACGGGAGAAGGGGCTCCCGGATGTCCCTCCTGGACAGACCCAGCTGGACACATCATGGACTCCTGGAAACAGTGGAACTTGATTTGTTCATCTCAGCTGTCAGTGGAGGACTCTGAAGACGTGTGGATATTTGTGGTGTTGGGTGTCGGGTTTCCTGCTCATTGCTTGGAGGCTACCTGGCTTACCGGAAAATTAACAAGCTGTCGAGGAATATTGGCCTGATCTCGGAGCTCAGAGATGGTTTGTACCGCGCTGTGAATTCACAGACTCAAATAATTGTCAAGATCAATGATAAGCTTGGGACTTTGGCGGAGATTCATTCCTTGGCACAAAAGATGGATGCCATCAAGGAGAGAGTGGACGAATCAGCACGGATTGGGATAGATTAATGTCCATTATTGGGATTCTGAGAGGTCGAGGACCAACAAACTGTAAGACAGAGAGGAAATTATCTCTGTCTGGCCCCAAAACAATGTAATCGGAATCTGGCGTCCTTGAGCCTGCACGGCTCCAACGAAAACTCCCCCCTCAGAAGATATGTGGAACGTGCCGTTGCTATGGCAACTCAACTCTGTCTCCTTTCCCAGCCTGGGCGGGACAGCGGGAAGGCCGCTGCAGCACCCAGGGTCACTGCAACCCTCCAACCCTCAATGCTCCTCCCCCTATCCACACTGAGGTGACATGTGCTGCTTATCGCGGCTGCAGGAACTGAAATGGGGATAGTCCCAACCCACCACCCCACCTAGTGGACACTTATGTTGTGTTGTCTGAAGTCTGTTGCATATCTGTTTGAGGTGTTTTATTGCATAACAAAGCTGCCCTCCTGGTGGAAGAGTAGCTCTGAAGTGCCTTTTTTTCCCTCCACCTGAACCAATCCTCATGTAACCCTCGTATCTCTACTAAGGTAGCGCGACTCGGGGTTGCGAATGATCACAGTCATCAATTCTTGTCATGTGTCTTGCCCGTGTATGTCTGATCTTTAAACTGTGTGCACTGAAACTCTAATTTCCCTCTGGGATTAATAAAGTATCTTTGATTTGATTTGATTGATTTAAATACAATTTCGTGGGAATTTTTTTAGTATTTCATGACCACAAATTAGTACTTTGTGGGAATGTTATACCCATTTCGTGGCCACAATTTATTTATCTCTCAACCATGTCATGAGCTGGGCTCCGTAATAAAATCTTCAGTGACAGAGAAAACATTCTCCTTAAGAACAATTTCAGCCAAGAGCAGTAAAGTATTGAAACGATTAAAAGCAGTCACTTCTTTATTGTCTGTGATCCCAAGATTCTCCAGGTGTGACAAGAATACGTTTTCATTTAGAAGAAAGACGGTTTAAAGATTCGGCCCCACACGCAGAGCTGGTGAAGGTTTTCTGCAGTGTGACGGACAAAGTCGGAGATTAAATTTCAAGCTTAAGGAGCGTTGCCCCAAATGGAGTCTCATCAGCATCAGCAAAGTCTTAAAGGGCAGGAGAGAGCAACGTACAAATGAGGGAGAAATAACCTGACTGTGTGGATGAGGCGTTCATCGGTTTCTGATCCGGGGGGGAATATCGGAATCTGTTAAATCTAGTAGAGACCATAGCAAACCAGCGATCTGACGAGTAGCACATTACACCCAAACTCGAAAAACAAAAAAAATAAGCAAAAGTTAAAGTTTAACAAAAGTGTACATGTGTGTGTGTGTCACAAGAATTACTGAACAGATTTTAGTTAAACTTTTAAATTATTGATTTCTGACCACCGCGACGGGTTAAGCGTCTTGCCCAAGGACACTGCAGCAGCATTCTCTGGTGGGAGCCAGGAACACACAACCCTTTAACCACTGGGGAACCTACGTTTCTGCCTCAGATACTGCTGCCCACAGATGTGAGCAATAGAAATTAGCTTCCATCCTCGGGTGACCAAACTGAAACTGCTTGTAATGCTTGTATTTGTAAGATTTGTAGGTTTGATTCATCCCAAATATTTCAACTTAATTTATTTTAGTTGGCTCATCTACGCTCAGTAACAAGTTGAACAATATTTATTATTGATGGAGTGAAACAATACAGAAGATTTCTGTCTCAGCGTACTGACGATGATGATATTCTGCTGATGTCACGGATAGTGGCTCAGGATTAAAGCTGAGAGTCGTTAATCACGCACTCTTTGAGGCAGGGGCGGATTTAGGACTGAAGAAGATCCGGGGCTTAACACACACGCACGCGCGCACACACGTGACACGCACTAGTCAACATCATATATATATTTGTCTTGTACCACATAATTTTTAATCCGAAGCTGCATATTAAGCATTTTCAGGGCAGAGTATTGTTCCTGTTAGTGTTTAGTGTGAGATGATAGTAAATATTCCCGTTCTTTCTCCAACAACTTTACCTGATAGTAAGCTAACTTTAGGCAAACCAGCAGCACAACAAATATTTTCAAATAAGACTCACACACCTGAGTCAACACCAGTCTCATCAAAGCTGGGGTTCTGTCGCCGTACTTTTGGTCTAAAAAACGTCCTTATGTCCATCTTCACTCATGCGTTTCAGGCAGAGAGTGTAGAAGAAGCCGGCTGCTGAAGGGCTTCTTCTTCAGTGGTGGAGGCTCGGGCAGGCTGTATACAAACTACTGCCAGCTGCTCCCTCTCTGTTGGACTTTGGTACTGCATGCTACTTCTGCGATTTAGATCCGGGGCTTATGATGAAACATCCGGGGCTCCAGCCCAAGTAGCCGGGCCTAATGCAGCCCCTGCTTTGAAGGATAGCTGATTCTGTGAGCTTTCCCGGAAATTTATGCTCAGAAATTGACCAAATGGCTCTTATCATTTTCTCAACATACAATAATGGGTTTAAACTCTATCCTGAAAGGCAGCAAGCAACATGCTTTCTTTTGAAGACTATCAAGACAGTTATTCTTCATTTGTCCACTTGTCCGATTTCCACACACACAAGAACGTACTGTTCTGGTCAGATAAGAGGAAAGGAGAGAAAATGGTTGAAAAAGCAACAAAAATCCAAAGAAACTCATCACTTTATAATGTTCCATTTAAAAAGTTTGGCTCATTGTAAGAAAAACAGACTAAAAGAAACAATCAGCAGCTAAATCATGTTGGGATGGTAACAGCAGATGTAGAGACAGAAGAGAAAATAGAGTTTTACCGTTTGCACGTTGTAGCCTTCGTAGAAGTGGAATCGGCCCTGCATGCAGACGCATTCGCAGCCCTGCAGCTTCCCAAACACCAGCTGGCCTGCATGACCTGGGACTACACACACACACACACACACACACGCACGCACGCACGCACACACAGTATTAAGACCTGCATTCATGCTGAGACGCTGCAGATATTTTATTTTACATGGAAGTTTATTAAGATTTTTTCATATTTCTGCATTAAAATCATCAGTAGACTTTTTAACAACCAAAATAGAATCCTTTATTCATTTGTTCGGGCCGTCATCAGATCTTGAGCTGAAGCTGAGGCAAAATATAATATATTCCCACAAAAATCTAAAATATTTGCTACGAGAAATGATCGAAATGGAAACCGTCCCTCTAATGGATCATGTCTGAAATGATCATTTCTAATTTTAGGAAGATCGGCGCATTCCTGTGCTGCACAGTGGTGCAGTCGTTAGCATCGTTGCCTCGCAGCAAAAATGTCCTGGGCTCACATCCCGGCTTGGGGTCTTTCTGTGTGGAGTTTGTGTGTTCTCCCTGTGCATGCGCGGGTTATCTCCAGGTACTCTGGCTTCCTTCCACGGTCCAAAAACATGACTGTCAGGTTGATTGGTCGCTCTAAATTATCCTTAGGTGTGAGTGTGCATGCTTGGTTGTTTGTGCTGTGTGTCTCTGTGTTGCCCTGCAATGGACTGACAACCTGTCCAGGGCACCAGCCCCCTCCCCCCACAACCCAGCGTGGACAAGCGGGTTCAGATGATGGATGGATGGTAGATTATTTAAAAAATAACCTGAATGCTATACATGTAGCTGCCAGCTGAGCAGCTGATGGCAATGACCCTTAATTGGCTCACAGAATTTACATAAGCCACACCCTTCCAGAGAAAACTGCTCGGGTTAATTTGTTTGTAGAGAAGATAACACTGTTTGAAGTATTAAATTATGTCTTTAGCCTAAATTCACCTCAGCTGCACATTGCTGACTGCATCCCCACGTAAGTTTTGCTGTATTGATGCTTTTGTTTGGGTTATTATTTTGACACTCTACAGTCATTGTTTGTTTTTCTTGTCCATCACCGAGTCAAATCTACAGATAAAGCAGCTTTGAGGAATGATTGTTTTGTTTAGCACCCTTGGCCAGCGGAGCAAGTTAAATGTGAGAATATAATCTATTTCTGTTATGACATCGAAGTTGTGTTCACCTTTTATTTATGCTTTTGTACATCTCTGAACAGTTTTCACGGTGCAACTCGTGGAGTGAAGTCCAAGGCATTGGACCAGAGAAAATAATAAAAGTTTATGCACCCGTCGAGGCTCTCCGTTCTTTTCTTCATGGTGCCAGGGGCAGCTACATGTATTATCTGGTAGAGTCTGAGTACTGCAGGAAGCAACTATCTATTTTTGTATAATAGCCAAAAGAACTATCTTTTCTGAGTATTAGGCCTAGTCCACACGTAGCCGGGGTTCTTTCAAAACGAATATCCGCCCCTCCAAAAACTTGCATCCACACCACCGCGTTTTAAAAAAAACTCTGTCCACACGTACCCGGATAAATACGTTGTTAAGGACATGCCAGACCTGTAGGCGGCAGTACTTCCCTCGTTCTTAACCTCGTCCTTCGTCTGTGGTCTTCCGCAAGGAGCAGTAATTCCGCTTGCAAAAACAAACAAGCAGAAAGCGCTTGGACAACTGATGGATCGGGTAGTGACAGAGCGCAGCTCTGAGGGCTTCCATGATGCCGGCTAGTGTAAACACAGGTCGCACACGTGATGTCAGCATTTTTTTTTGTCGCGGAAAGTGACGTTGCGGACCTTAAAACTCCGGTTTTGTCTGTCCACACGCAGACACCCAAAACGGAGAAAACGCAGATCTTCACTTTGGCCGGAGTTTTTAAAAAGATCCGTTTTCACGTGAAAAACTCCGTTTTCGTGTGGATGACAGGCCAAAACGTAGAAAAATATCTACGTTTTGGCAGATCCCCGGCTACGTGTGGACAGGGCCTTAGTCTGTGTGTCAATGTGCCTTACTGGGAATGTTTAGGAGTCCCTACAGAAGACCTTCTCCGACCTCAACCACTCACAGTTAGAACATCTCTGAATCTTTATGAGAATTTGTGTGCAAACATGTTGATATTTGAGGTTGTATTTATGCAGAAATGTATTATGAATGAGTTAATGTTGCTGGATTTCCTGGTGCTTCCTTACCGGTGCTGGTCGGGAAACGGGGAATGTCTTTATAGGAGAACATGGTTTTATCCTCCAGCAGGTCACCCAGACCGCCCAGACCTGAACCACAGATGATCGCCACCTTGGGACGCTTTTTGGTGTGTGTCAGCAGCCAGTCTGCTGTCTCTTTGTAATCTTCATAACTGTAACTAAACATACATAATTAAGACATTTAGGACATGTGGTAGAATCAGACCCCCACCCTAAAATCCTAATAAATGTTTTCTTAGTGGATTAATTTACCTATTGTGAATAATAAAAATAGAAGCTGCACATACTTTATTTTTTTTATTGCTGAATGAAAACGGACTGAATGCGTCCCTAATTCAGGTGGACAAAAACACACCTTTTACAAATTTCACAGCTGAGCAAAAATGAAAACTTTTCACTGTCAGCAGGAAAAGTCAGTTTTCATCAGTAATCAACGTCGTCGTCGTCTTCCTCCGCTTATCCGGGTTCGGGTCGCGGGTTTAGCATCCCAACCAGGGAGCTCCAGACCGTCCTCTCCCCAGCCACCTCCACCAGCTCCTCCAGCAGGACCCCAAGGCGTTCCTGGACCAGATTGGAGATGTAACCTCTCCAACGTGTCTTGGGTCGACCCGGGGGCCTCCTGCCGGCAGGACAGGCCCGAAACACCTCCCCAGGGAGGCGTCCAGGAGGCATCCTGACCAGATACCCAAACCACCTCAACTGGCTCCTTTCGATCCGGAGGAGCAGCGGTTCTACTCAGAGTCCCTCCCGAATGTCCGAGCTCCTCACCCTATCTCTAAGGCTGAGCCCGGCCACCCTACGGAGGAAACTCATTTCGGCCGCTTGTATCCGCGGGTAATCAACAATTCAGAAAACCTTTTAAACCCTTTACAATGCTGCAATGGATTTTTTTTTTTACTTTTTTATTGCCTCTTAACATTCATAGCTAATAATATATGGCGGAGCTGTAACAAAATAGAAAAAATAAAAGACGTGGTTCTCCTGCATTTGTCTAAAAACCTCCACCATTAACACATTTTAGACTGAAACCAACTGTTACACCATCAGGTTGTCGGTCTCACCAAACCGCCGCACTTCCCTGGGCCCTCCACTCATCACACACTCACGTGCACCAGAACAACACTGGTGTGAGAGCTTCTCTGTTCAGTAACATCAGAGAAGGAGAAACAGCTTCCACCTCAGCTTTAGGACAAACTACCACAAAGAAAAATACCATTTGAAGTCACGGACAACAAAGACGTTTGGACCTAGAAAACGGCGGCTGGTGTTAAGCACCATCTTGTTCCCTCCAGCGTCTCGGGGAAGATACCTGAGGGAAGGGTGAGTGTTCTGTGACGGTGTTTGTGTTCAGAAGCTAGCTTGTTCTGCAGATTCGCTAAAGCAGCTTTAATGTTCTCGACCGGAAAAGGGTGGCTTGCCAACTCCGGGTCGGGGGAGAGGTCCTACCTCAAGTGGAGGGGTTTAAGTATCTCGGGGTCTTGTTCACGAGTGAGGGAAGGAGGGATCGGGAGATCGACAGGCGGATTGGTTCGGCGTCTGCAGTGATGCGGACGCTGAGCCGATCTGTCGTGGTGAAGAGGGAGCTGAGCCAGAAAGCCAGGCTCTCGATTTACCGGTCGATCTACGTCCCAATCCTCACCTATGGTCATGAGCTTTGGGTAATGACCGAAAGAACGAGATCACGGATACAAGCGGCCGAAATGAGTCTCCTCCGTAGGGTGGCCGGGCTCAGCCTTAGAGATAGGGTGAGGAGCTCGGACATTCGGGAGGGACTCGGAGTAGAACCGCTGCTCCTCCGGATCGAAAGGAGCCAGTTGAGGTGGTTTGGGCATCTGGTCAGGATGCCTCCTCGACGCCTCCCTGGGGAGGTTTTTCGGGCATGTCCTGCCGGCAGGAGGCCCCCGGGTCGACCCAGAACACGTTGGAGAGGTTACATCTCCAATCTGGTCCGGGAACGCCTTGGGGTCCTGCCGGAGGAGCTGGTGGAGGTGGCCGGGGAGAGGACGGTCTGGAGCTCCCTAGTTGGGATGCTGCCCCCGCGACCCGGACCCGGATAAGCGGAGGAAGACGACGAGCTTTAATGTCTTTGTGAGGTAAAGAAAACCGCAATGAAACTTTTATTGTTCATTTGGAACGGTAAGGGTTAAAGGTGATCAAATAAAAAAAAACACAGATTTTCACTCGTTGTCCTGTAAATCTAAAAGTAAGTAATAGTCTGTGTTATGAGGCACATTTCTGAGTGTACCTGCCAAACTGTTATCCACAGATGTTGATTTGATAATGTGCCTGGAGGGATGAAACAGTCTGAAACCGTGGGTAATTCTGATCATAAATCTGCCTGTAAAGCTATCACCTTGCTAATGTTCCCTCTGCGCCTGAAGCTTTGTTACTGAGATGAAGTGACACGTCAGGCTGCGGTGTTTACCGGACCAATCTGTGGCAGGAAGAGAGCCCGGTGACTGGGAGAACAGTTTGGAGCCGATGACTGCTGCATTTGAGTCGCCCTGGGTCCTCCGCCCTCAAATGTTTCACCCTCTCTCATTTTTATTTCTAACTCACAACAAATGTGAAAAAAAATTCAGGTGTCGCTGTTTTGCCAAGACAACGGTGAGAAATGTTTGTCCCTGCACACACGTTGAGAGGTTTATGCGTTTTTATCATGAAAGAAAGCAGTTCCAAGTTCATCGTGATCCAAATTCGCTCTTTACACAGCTGTGCAGGTGAAGAGTTAAAAAGAGATGTCACACAGGTGACCGCGGTCGCTGGAAATGAACTACAGAGTTTCTGCTGATTTAGGTGATCATCTCTGTAAAATCAGTGATTTATAAACCTGTAAAAGTGAATATCAACAATGTTTAACATGTAGCCCTGCTGAAGAGGAAGCAAGAGGCTTTGGCTCCTCGCCCATCCCATAAACAGGAACCCAACATACATAGCTCTGCGTGGGAGAGAACCTCGGGGTCTCATCTTGTTCTACAGATAACGTTGGTTTATCGGTGACCTTCAGCTTGCGCTGGGGCCGTTTGTAGCAGAGTGATGATGAGAGCCAGCTCCTCCATGTCTGAGACCAGGGTTCTCCTTCAGGAAAAGGTTCTGAGTCAAAAGGGGTTCCCTTGGTTTCCCGTTCATACCTGATGGTAGGACGGAGCAGCAGGTTGGGGCTTTACCGAGGGTGCATCCCGGATGTAAATGGCCTGTATTTCTATAGTGCCTTCTTAGGCGTCTACAACCCCCCCCCCCCCCCCCCAAGGCACTTCACAATGCAATCAGTCACTCACCCATTCACACGCTGATGATGATGAGCTACAATGTAGCCACAGCTGCCCTGGGGCGCATTGACGGAAGTGAGACTGTGGAACACTGGCACCACGGGTCCCGCCGACCACCTCCAGCAGGCAGCGGGTAAAGTGTGTTGCCCAAGGACACAGCAGCAGCATTCCCTGGTGGGAGCCGGGATTAAACCTACAACCCTCCAATTACTGGACAACCTGCTCTACCACCTGGGTTACTGCTGCCCGCACATGCGAGCAATAGATATTAGCTTCCATCCTTGGGAGACCAGGCTTAACAAACTGATAGAATAAGGAGATCAGAGTGGAGCTGCTCCTCTTCATCCAGACAAGGCAGCGGAGGTGATTTCTTCCCTCTGCTGGTCACTATTTTTTCCCCTCTGCCCTGGGAATACCTAGTGGTTCCCCAGAGAGGAGGAAACATACTGAATGGATAAAACATATGTTACTCCTAGTAATACTTGTGTTTGTAAGATTTGTAGGTTTTATTCATCCAAGACTACTGTATTTATTTTCATTTGCTCATTTATACTCGACAAGTTGAACGATATTTTTTGATTGCGTCTTGGCTCGCGTGGGGTCCCGCGCGGAGCTGTCCGTGGTGCTGGAGAGTTTGGATTCCTGTCCTTCTGCAGCCTTCAGGCTTCGTAATCACCATCACCACAGCAATGTTTTGTTGTCATTTATTTTTCTTTGACAGACGCATCGAAACCGGTCCTGAAAACCCAGCTGGGTGTGTTTGAGTCCCCAGGCTTCTCACCAGCCTGATACCTGAGCTGCAGCGAGCCAAGGTAAACCCAATAACAGGAAGAGCAGGACTGTGGGCAGTAAACACCTGTAACACGACGATGTTACGTCAGAGGTAGAAGGAAGCCTCCTATTGGCTGCTGTAATCCTCTTCACTGCCTTGTAATATACGGTTCTGCGTTTAAACCCGCGAACGAAGCATTAACAATCTTGATTTCTCAGGCACCGTAACTAATAATCTCGAATAGGCTTGAACACATGAGCTGTCATCGCCTGTCAGCAGCATCCGGCGTGTTTCCGTCCTACCTGCACCGGCTGGAGGGGGAGGAGGAGGCCGTGGTTTCCATTTTTACGCTGGTCTGCTGCCGACGAGGTGTTTCTGTTGGTTTTCACCGCACTTATCGATGCTTTGACGGCTGGAGGTAGAGACGGTGCTGCTGCAGACTCAGCGGCGGAGGTCATGTTACGCGGTGACGTAGCTACACATATGACGAAGAGGCGTGGCCTCCGCAGACCGACGGTCTCTTTGAAGAATGTTAAATCCTATTTTCTAGCAGGCTGGGCAACTCACTGACCCGTTCACCAGTCTGGGCGGGTGGGGGTGACAGGGTGAGAGATACAACAACCCACTTATATAAAACTGTTATTATTAAGGTTCATTATAACCGAAGGCTGCACAACACACCGAGTTTTGTACTTTCAAACTCAAAAATCCACAAAACCTTGCATGATGTGTTCCCAAAAAGCAGGCAAACATCCCCATTCCTGCTTCTCTGCCCTAAAACAACGAAACGTGCTGAGTCATGGTGTTGGGAGAAAGGAGAGAAAGCACAAACATGACTCAACAAAGTTTCAAATAAATGTGGGGTGCTGACTCAAAGCAGTCAAACACAAGCACATAAAAGTGGTGAAACAATAATTTATTTTTATCATTTTATTTAACCAACGGTTTTATGAGAATAATTTATCAAATCAATGCTGGTAGGAGTTTATTGTTTTATCTCAAATATCAACATAATTTACATTTAACATCTTCCCGAAATGGCTTGTTTTTGTGCCTGACAGTAAAAATAACTCAACTTCAAAATAATTTTTCTTTTTATGAACATAAACAATTGTATATTTTTTCTGCCAGTCAAACATTTGAGTATGAAAGCACTTGTCTTCTTATAAACGGATTCTTGGAAATCCAGGATTGTTCCTGCTGTGATTGCTGATTAGTGGGGCCTGTAAAGGGGGAGAAAATTCCTTGTCAGTTCGAATATGTCATGTAAAGCTACTTCAGAGGGATTTTTTTTATAAATTAAATAATGATCTAGAAATGTGTGTCCTGTTATAATCTGTCCGAAAGGGCATTTCTTACTTGTGTTTCTTTGCCACACACATACAAGGCTTAATAGCAGACTAAAACAGTGTTTTTGCGCATAAGGAAAATTAGCTAAATGGTCTCGAGTCAGAAGTTCAGAGTCAAGCTGATTCAATTCAAGCAAAAATGTTGTGTTGGTTCATTTTAAATTACTGTAACGTTCTGCACTTTAGCTGTGCTCTATGTAGAGTGTCAGCAGGATGTGTTCCATGTGCTGCGTTCTTTGCAGTTAATTGTTCTTTTGTGCTTGGTTCTCTTTTAGTGTAATAGAGCGGAATCTATGAGCTGTTCTATGAAGGGAGAGGAGCGAGAGTGAGGGTCGGGAGGAGTGTGTGCAGGAGAGCCGGGGGGAGTGAGTGAAAAACCCCTGAGGTGTAGTTTTTGGTTTTGGTCTCGCTCTCTCGCTGTTCGTTGGTTTTGGGGCTCTGTGTTCGGCGTGGTTGCGGCCAACAGCAACTCTTTTGGAGTCATTAAAAGACTAAAGCAGAAGTGAGCGTCTCCGATCTTTATTGTGTGCGACGGGAAGTTGCATTACTTTGTTTTTTGTTTAGCATAATTTCTATATTTGCCAGATTTGTTAAAATCAGCCATAATCTCACTTTGGTCTCCATTCATGTCATGATTAAACATAAAAAAGAGCTATACGGTTCTTTTGGAAGCAGGCAGCTGCTAGCCAATCAGAGAGCCGCTTACTGAAGGGAACGTTGACTCGTTACCACGGCAACAGCTCACACCGGCAGCGTTACAAGTTTTCCTTGACGGAGAACTTCAGATGGTAGATCTTTGTTTCTTCCTTTGTTGGAACAAAAATTATAAATAATGTACTTTGTTAAAATAACCAGCTCGTTATTGTTTCATAGTTAAATTGTTTGGGGCGTCAACGTTTACTGATTTTTCCATTTAGGAGACGTAAGAAGCTATAAGCTAGCTAAAACATTTCTAATGAATGGCAAATGTAATGTTGTAAATGAAACAGTGATTTTAAAGTAATCAGGATTCTGTTTATTCCTCGACATTTATTATAGTTTCTGAATATAAAAATCACATCCAACAAATTTAAATGCAGTTTGGGAAGTTCTTCGATACGCAAAAGTTTTGTTTTTCAGGTTATTCAAGGTGGTCTTTGTTTTGCTTTTGTTGGAACATGGCGTAAACATGCTAACTCCACTCATGCATGGGGAGAATATGCTAGCTCCATGCGTGTATGAGGAGAACATGCTAGCTCCATGCGTGTACGAGGAGAACATGCTAGCTCCATGTGTAGAACACGCTAACTCCATGTATACATGAAAACATGCTAACTTCAAGCGTGTATGGGGAGAACATGCTAGCTCCATGAGTGTATGAGGAGAACTGATAGCTCCATGTGTGTAGGAGGAGAACATGCTAGCTCCATGTTTTTATGAGGAGAACATGCTAACTCCATGTATACATGAGAACATGCTAACTTCAAACGTGTATGAGGAGAACATGCTAGCTCCATGCGAGTATGAGGAGAACATGCTAGCTCCATGTGTGTATGAGGAGAACATGCTGGCTCCATGTATGTATGAGGAGAACATGCTAGCTCCATGTGTGTATGAGGAGAACATGCTAGCTCCATGTGTGTGTGAGGAGAACATGCTAACTCCAAGTGTACATGAGGATAACATGCTAGCTCCATGTGTGTATGAGGAGAACATGCTGGCTCCATGTGTGTATGAGGAGAACATGCTAACTCCATGTGTGTATGAGGAAAACATGCTAACTCCATGTATACATGAGAACATGCTAACTTCAAACGTGTATGAGGAGAACATGCGAACTCCATGTATACATGAGAACATGGTAGCTCTGTGTGTATGAGGAGAACATGCTAGCTCCATGCGAGTATGAGGAGAACATGCTAGCTCCATGTGTGTATGAGGAGAACATGCTAGCTCCATGTGTGTGTGAGGAGAACATGCTAACTCCATGTATACATGAGAACATGCTAACTTCATACGTGTATGAGGAGAACATGCGAACTCCATGTATACATGAGAACATGGTAGCTCTGTGTGTATGAGGAGAACATGCTAGCTCCATGCGAGTATGAGGAGAACATGCTATCTCCATGTGTGTATGAGGAGAACATGCTAGATCCATGTGTATATGAGGAGAACATGCTAGCTCCATGTGTGTATGAGGAGAACATGCTAACTTCAAACGTGTATGAGGAGAACATGCGAACTCCATGTATACATGAGAACATGGTAGCTCTATGTGTGTATGAGGAGAACATGCTAGCTCCATGTGTGTATGAGGAGAACATGCTAGTTCTATGCGTGTATGAGGAGAACATGCTAGCTCCATGTGTGTATGAGGAGAACATGCTAGCTCCATGTGTGTATGAGGAGAACATGCTAGCTCCATGTGTGTATGAGGAGAACATGCTAGCTCCATGTGTGTGAGGAGAACATGCTAACTCCATGTATACATGAGAACATGCTAACTTCAAACGTGTATGAGGAGAACATGCTAGCTCCATGTGTGTATGAGGAGAACATGCTAGCTCCATGTGTGTGTGAGGAGAACATGCTGACTCCATGTATACATGAGAACATGCTAACTTCAAACGTGTATGAGGAGAACATGCGAACTCCATGTATACATGAGAACATGGTAGCTCTATGTGTGTATGAGGAGCTCCTTTTTCCGGAACTGCGCTGCTCTGGGCGGCTGCATGTTGGAGTAGCTCTGTTGACTATATGTAAGTTTTGCCTTTTCTTGGGCATTTTTTCTTCTAGTTTCTCAAGAAAAACTGTATTTTATTGGACATTTTACTTTTATGTTTCTGGTGCTGTGAAGCTTGGAGGATTTTTACTGCTATCTTTAGCTTTTTTTTCACTTTTTGAGCATTTGTTATGATGCGTAACCATGGCAACAAGCTAGTTTACAATCAGGAGCAGCTGATTAACATTGGAAAGGCTGAAATAATACCTCAACTGAAGCCACAAATCCCAAATGAGCTAAAACGCAAGAAGCGTGGGTGCAGAGCGGGAGCAAAACGGAGACAGAGAAAGAGGAAATTCAAACCATTTCTTCCATCAATCATAACGGGCAATGTGAGATCACTGGCCAACAATGGAGGAACTCCAAGCCCTTTCAAGGACTCAGCCAGAGTTTCGGCAGTTTCGGAACCGCTGGAGGAGATGATGTAAAGAAGGTTTCTCCAGAGAATCATGAAAATGATGGACAACCCTGAGCATTCTCTTCACAAGACTGTCCGACAATGGAAGAGTGTCATCAGTCAGAGACTTCTTCAGTTTGGCTGCAACACTGACCGCTACTGGAGATCCTTCCTGCCAACAGCCATTGTAATATACAACAACTCTTTGATGACTTGAATATTATTATTATTCTGAGCTACTACAGCAATCAATTTCCCTCTGGGATTAATAAAGTATTTTTGAATTGAATTGAATTGAGAACATACTAACTTCAAACGTGTATGAGGAGAACATGCTAGCTCCATGTCTGTATGAGGAGAACATGCGAACTCCATGTATACATGAGAACATGCTAACTTCAAGCGTGTGAGGAGAACATGCTAACTCCATGCGCGTATGAGGAGAACATGCTAGCTCTATGCGTGTATGAGGAGAACATGCTAGCTCCATGTATAGATGAGAACATGCTAACTTCAAGTGTGTATGAGGAGAACATGCTAGCTTCATGTATACATGAGAACATGCTAACTTCAAGTGTGTATGAGGAGAACATACTAGCTCCATGTGTGTATGAGGAGAACATGCTAACTCCATGTATATATGAGAACATGCTAACTTCAAGCCTGTATGGGGAGAACATACTAGCTCCATGCGTGTATGAGGAGAACATGCTAGCTCCATGTGGGTATGAGGAGAACATGCTAGCTCCATGTGTATGTGAGGAGAACATTCTAACTTCAAATGTGTATGAGGAGAACATGCTAGCTCCATGCCAGTATGAGGAGAACATGCTAGCTCCATGTGTGTATGAGGAGAACATGCTAACTCCATGTATATATGAGAACATGCTAACTTCAAGCCTGTATGGGGAGAACATACTAGCTCCATGCGTGTATGAGGAGAACATGCTAGCTCCATGTGTGTATGAGGAG